TCACGTCCCTCAAAATGGCAGACCAGGTAGAAGAGTGAGGATGCCTCTGTGGCTGGCAGCATAGCTCTGTGGACAAGAATATGGTCCAACCGAGCCAGCAGATAGTACCACCCATGGGCACTGCCAGGGACAAGTGTAGACTGAGCTGCCTTCCCCACTGGATTCCCACCACCTCGGCAAAGCCCAGGGTGCCCCCTGATGGACAGGATGGGTCTTGCAAGCCAGGAAGTGGTCTGGTTAAGCCAGCATTATCTTCCGCCAAGTCCAACCCACACATGATGAAAGACCTTTCATTAATTAGGACAGAACATAAGCAGAAACAAAATCATCCCCAGCCCCATGTCCTAGAGGCAACTCCTGAAACTTTCTGGCTGGTTTCCTGGCAGTTTTTATTCTTGTGCATTTTTTTCTTCTCTCAGCTGGAGACAGAGGCAGTATTTCACCGCTCACCCTACCTTCTCTCTAAGCCCTTTCCCAGCTCCTAACAAAAACCATCTTTACTATCCTAATGGCTTTGTTGTCATTTGTCCAGTGGGTGTAACCGAATGTTGGGGTGGAATGTGGCTGGGTCCAGATTTTCCTTGTCCTCCAGAACGCTGATCGGTGGCTCACGCCTGTAATCTTGGCTATTCAGGAGGCTGAGATCTGAGGATCACAATTCCCAGACCAGCCTGGGCAGGAAAATTCTGTGAGACTCTTTATCTCCAATTAACCAACAAAAAAACCAGAAATGGACCTGTGGCTCAAATGGTAGAACAGCGACCTGGAGCAAAACAGTGCCCAGGTCCTGAATTCAAGCTTCAGTACTGGAAGGAAAGAAAGAGAAAGAGAGAGAGTGAGAGAGAGAGAAAGAAAGAAAGAAAGAAAGAAAGAAAGAAAGAAAGAAAGAAAGAAAGAAAGAAAGAAAGAAAGAAAGAAAGAAAGAAAGAAAGAGAGAAAGAAGAGAAAGAAAGAGGAAGGGAGGGAGGGTGGGAGGGAAAGAGAGAAAGAGGAAGGAAAGAAGGAAAGGAGGAAGGAAGGGAGGGAGGAAAGAGGGAAGGAGGGAGAGAGGAGGAGAAAGGAAAGGAAAGGAAAGGGAAAGGAAGACAATAGGAAAAGATAACTGTCCACCCCCATTCTCAGCAGTATCTGACTTCATTCTCCGTCCACACCTGCTCTAGCTACCTTCACCAACTCCAAGGTGTGAGGCTTCGTAACTGGAAGAACACTGAGAGTCACCAGGCCCAACCGCCTAACCAGGGCAAAGGTTCCATTGGCAGGCTCTCTGATAGTTGTTCCCAGTCCTGGGCACTGTTTTGATCATAGAGAGCTCACCACCTCCTAGCTGGTCTGGTGGGAAGCCTACACAGAATCATTCTGAAGAAATGTCCAGAGTGTTATAGCACTCTGCTTAGACCCAAGCTGCTAGCCAGCCTGCCTATGTGTCTCCTCAGCTCCTACTACCCCTTCCCTTCCTTTCCTTCTTTCCTCTCTCTTTCTGTCCTCTCTCTCTCTCTCTCTCATATGTTGGTACTAGAGCTCAGTCTTAGGCCCTAGGCACTGTGCCTTACCTGTTTTACTCAATGCTGGCTCTCAACACTTGAGTCACAGCTCCACTTCTGGTTTTTTGTGGGGTTTTTTTGGTTGTGGTTGTTGTTGTTTTGGTTTTTTGTTTTGTTTTTTGTTTTGGTAGTTAATTGAAGATAAGAATTCCACAGACTTTTCTGCCTAGGCTGGCCTCAAAGCGCGATCCTCAGTTCTCAGCCTTCTGAGTAGTTAGGATGACAAGCCTGGGTTAGCTTTGCCTTCTTTGTTCCTTCACGGGCTACCTCTCCCCCCCAGCTCGGGCTCCCCTTCCCAGCTTGCTCTGCCATAGTTCTTCTAGCCCCCCATCTGGTGGTCAGAGGATCTAGAGGTCAGCTTTGTCACTGACTCACCACAGGCCATTGAGCAAGTTCCCTGGCCTCTGAGGTCCCCAGAGGACGTGTCTGAACCCCAGTGAGAGGTGCCAGGTGGCGTCCTGACAGATGTGTATGTGTGTGTGTGTGTGTGTGTGTGTGTGTGTGTGTGTGTGTGTGTGTGTGTGTACCGTGGCAGGAGGTGGGGTCAGTAGAGCCTCCTGGGCCTGGCAGCCTACCCATCCAGGGTGGGTGGTGACCCCTACAGAGAGAGTCATGTCAGCAGTGACCATCTGCTTCATGCTGATGTTTATGAGAAGGAGCTGCACCTTTCTGGGAGAAAGCAAGGGAACCAGAAAGGCTTTTGTTCTGTTCAAAAATGCCTTCTCTCTTGGCTCTGCCCTCTTTGGTCAGCATAAACAATGTCTGCACAGAACCTTCCAGGAAGTGGCTGCTCTCCGCTGGGCGCTGCCCGCTGGCCTGTCTTCCCTCTATCACTGTCTCTTCCTCTGGCTCTGCTGGCCACCCCTCCCCCAGCATGCAGGAAGCTCCTCCAGCACTAGGTGACTGGTGATCTGGGAGGGCCTAAGCATTTTCTCCTAACATTCCTGTTTGGGGGGGGTTCCTCCCTTTCCCTAGCCTGGACCTGGTGGTGGCAGACAGATGAGGTGGCCAGGGTGGCCTTGCTGCCAGCCACTTGAAAAGAGTCTCACCTCGTTCCTGGGTCTCAGTGTCACCAGCTGTCACCCGGCTTGAGAGCACTCCCTGACCCACAGGATTCTGGAAGAGGAGTTCCAGGTTGTTCCCATCCTACGGAACACAAATGTCAGGCCTCATCCCTCCTTTCCTTGTGCTCTACCAGCACATTTCTGAGGCAAGGCAGCCTTCCTCTGTCTTTCTCCATCCTTCCCTGGAATGTTCTAGAAGATGAAGGAAGCTAACTCTGCTTACTACCTCCACCTCCAAATGAGAGGAAGGCCTCCCTCCCATATCTGGAAACTTCTTCTTTGGACTGATGCCTCCTGGGTCTCAGCCTGGCCTCTACAGCACCTCCATTGCCTCTGCTCCCCCACCACAGAGACAGATTGAGAAAGAGAGACTGACAGACAGACAGAGACAGAGACAGAGAGAGAACCAGTACTGGGGCTTGATTTCAGGGCCTGGACATTCTCCCTTAACTTTTTCAGTCAAGGCTGGCACTCTACTACTTGAGCCATAGCTCCATTTCCAGATTTTTGCTGATTAATTAGAGATAAGAGTCTCAAGGACTGTTCTGCTCAGGCTGGCTTTAAATGCCAAACCCTCTGAATCTCCCACCTCCTGAGTAGCTGTGAATACAAGTGTGAGCCTCCAGGTCTTGGCGTCTCCCTTCTTCACTAAGCACTTATTATGCAATGTGGCATAAATTTCTTTTTCTTCACAATTCCACAAACAGAGGATCTAGTTCTAGCCATCCATCTAAGTAATCTCAGCATATATTTTGTCTTTCCTTGTTTGAGATAAGTTTCACCTTAAGAAAGTGCTTTATAGCTTCCCTGCGGTGTATCCTGATTGCCTGCGTAGATTCCCCTGGCACAGTTGGGCTGTTACTGTGTAAAACGGGTTCAGGTGGTGAACATTGCTGCTGAGACAGCTACTGAGTGACTAACTAACGGGCAGGTGGCATATACAACTCTGATCCGCTAAACAAAGAGTGAGTCCCACTGTGGAAGAGAAGAGTGATCGCACCTTGCTACTACTCAAAGCAGTGAGTCATTGAAGACTTCCGAGTTGCACAACTCAGGAACTTCCCATGGAATAACTTTCAGACCACAATTGACCACAGATAACTAAAGTCAAGGAAAACAAAATTGTTAGAGGCGGAACTTCTCGGGAGGGAGGCCAGACAGTGAAACTGTGGGTGAGGGCATGGAATGTGAAGTTGGAGACCGTGCAGTGTGCTGGGGTGGGGCGCAGTACCCATTTGTTGTGAGGTTGTCCTGAAAAATGAATAGCGCAGGCTGGGCGCTGGTGGCTGTAATTCCTAGCTACTCAGGAGGCTGAGATCTGTGGATCACAGTTTGAAGCCAACCTGAAGTTTGAAGCTGGAAAGTCCTTGAGACAAATAACTCCAATAAAGCACCAAAAAGCCAGAAATGGAGCTATGGTTTAAGTGGTAGAGTGCTAGTCTTGAGCAAAAAAGCTCAGGGATAGTGCCCAGGCCCTGAGTTCAAGCCTCAAGACCAGCATGCACACACACACACACATACACACACACACAATTGATAATTGATAGTTCATATTGACTCAGATATTTCACCTCTGCAAATTTACCCTACATATACAAAATGATGCACATACCGAGCTGTTCATGGTAGCCTGGTTTGTGATAACAGAAGAATGGGAACTACCTAGATTTTTGGAAATACCAACAGGTGAATGTGCCTGAACTTGGATTCCATGGTTGTGTAACTATTAATGGAACAGCTCAGTGTTGCGATGATCGTGATGATGTGGGACAGGGAGATGTGTTATTAAGTGCCCGCAGGAAGCTATGGAGCCAGTGTGGATCTGTTTCTAGTTGACACCGGAGAAGAAAGCCAGTGCGCAAGCATGTCCAATGTGTCTGCACACAGCCATGTCTGGGGTGGTAGACAGAAAATTGAGATTGCTTCCAGTTCTTGGGTGGTTAATTTCAACCCTTGGGCGGGGGGGGGGGGGGGGGGGGGGGGGGGGGGGGGGGGGGGGGGGGGGGGGGGGGGGGGGGGAAGCAGGAAGGACCTAAATTAAAGGCCCGACTAGAGACAGTGCTTGTGAGAGGGGGAACCTGTGGAAATGGGGTGGCTTGCTGCACACCTGTCTGTGTGCCTGTCTTGGGTGGGCCAAGAGCATGTGTGCCTCTGTGACCACCAGCTGCCCCCGTGTGACACCCCAGTTAGGGAAATAACCTCGCCATTCCTCCTTCGATTCCCCTTCCTGTCTAGGGATAGCAGAGATCTTGAAGCCTGGAGAGATCTGGAGTGACCTCAGTCCTCTCCAGCTGCTTGCACATCGGGACAGGGGGGTGCACACTGAGACACCCCCGAGGGGCGCCACCTTGGCTTCCTCATCCTCAAACGCCTGTGTTTGCTTTCTATCCTCCAGGCACGGCCCAAAGGAGAGGGTCTGACCCCGTACCAGGGCAAAAAGCGCTGCTTTGGCGAGTACAAGTGTCCCAAGTGCAAGAGAAAATGGATGAGCGGCAACTCGTGGGCCAACATGGGGCAAGAGTGCATCAAGTGCCACATCAACGTGTACCCACACAAGCAGGTGGGCGTGGCCGCGGGGAGTGGGCGGGGAGGCTCGGCAGGAGGGTCCGTCGGTGTTGGCTACTGGGGCCACCAGGGGGCGGGGCGGGGCTGGTGGTGGGCGGGGACACCGCAGGGGAGTGCTTGGTGGGAGGGCCAATGGGCGTGGTCACCGAGTCAGGGGGCGTGGCCTCCCTGTGGGGCCCGGCCAAGTGGATGCAGTGGGCGTGGCCTTGGGAAGGGCCCCCTGGTCTCACTGGAATGATGGACTGGGACAGCCCAGTGATGGACAGGAATGGGGTGGGAAGCTAAATGGGCCCAGACAGCAGAGGCTGTGGACACCCAAGGGAGCTTAAGAGCCACAGGGCTCTCAGCTTTATTTTTAGTCATCACAGGTACACACAGGTTAGTCTAGGGAGGGTCCTCAGTGGGAGGGCTTACTTATGAGCTGAGCTTGCACTTATGTTTGCAAACAATCTACTAACTCAAGCCTGGTCCTGAGGCCTGCTTATGGACCAGCCTAGTCTCCTGTGACTTGGGTATCTTGGAGCAATGTGTCCATCCCTGCTACACACACCTTCTAAGGTATACCTGTCATCCTCTCAGACAGCCCCTGAAGTCAGCCTGATGTGTTTCCCTCCTTCCTGAGGGGGAAACTGAGGCAAGGGGTTGGCCCCTCCAACTCAGTAGAAAAGCAGAGGTTCATGAGGAGGGGCTAGGTTTAGGGTTGGAAGACAGCATGAGACCTGAAGGAGGCAGATGGGTAGCTATGTGTGTGTGGGGGGGGGGGGTACATGATAATGCTTGGGTTTGGGCTGCAGACCTGGGGGTCTCTGTCTTTATGACCCACATTTTCTATGAACAGAGAGGCAGGACCAGCTCAGCACCCACAAGCCAGTGGGACCCAAGTCCTTGTTTCCTCAATAGCACCTCATTACCCCAGCATGTGCTCACTGTGTCCCTTTTACACACACCAGGCCACCCCCTTGTGGCCATGGGATCTCCTGCCTCATGGGCCCCATCTGGCCCCTCCACACTGTCAGGGCTGGAGCACCCAAGGGCCCAAGGGGAAGGACCTTTCAAGAGCATTTGACTCTACTCTTCCTCTCCCAGTCCTTCAGCCAGTGTTTGTTGAGCACCTACTGTGTGCATCAGAGAGACTGAGGCCCAGAGAGAAGAGGGGGCTTGGGCAGGGTCACTGTGGCAGCAAGCATTAAGGGTCAGCGATTTCAGAGTCCTTTTCCAGGCAGCGTGATTGGCTTCTCTCCACAGCTGGGGAGGGGCCTGAGGTAGTGCCCTTTCCCATGACTGGCTGTCAGGATCCTTTGAAGAGCTGGAGGAGACACTGGAGCCCTTCCCAGGTCCCCCACATAGAGAGGGGCTGGCTGACTTATCCTGCCCCTCCCCACCTCCACCCCAAGCTCTGGCCTGGGCCCCCTCAGCAATTGGCTCTGCCACATCTGTTTCTTGTTAAGCCCCAGCTGTGCCAGCCAGACCTGCCCCTCCTCTTCCTCCTCCCTGTGGGGGGTGGGGGAGGTCCAACTGCTGGGTGTTTTCAGCTGAGGAGCCCCAGTTTGCGCCCCATGGAGCCTGCTGGGGGCAGGCTGAGCTAGGCTGAGCAGACAGGCCCACAGAGGACCAGGCATCAGGGGTCACCACCACAGATCAGAAGATCCCAGGGCTAAGGAGACCAGTTTCAAAGGAACTCACCTGGTTTTCTGTCCCCAGCCAGGCCACACCCTATACCATAGCACTAATAACACCTAATATTAATACTGGCCAGCACTCTGTGTGTGCCAGGCACTCTCCTAGTCTCTAATGCAAATTGTTTGTTTGTTTTATACCTGTACTGGAGCTTGAACTTGAGGCCAGGGGGGCTCTCCATTAATTTTTCACTCCATTAATTTTTCACTCTACCACTTGAGCCATGCCTCCACTTCTGGCTTTTTGATGGTAAATGGGAGATAAGAATCCCATAGACTTAAACCACAATCTTCAAATCTCAGCCCCCTGAGTAGCTAGGATGACAGGCATGAGCCATCCGCGCCCATCTTTTGTACTACTTTCGAGCAGTTCACAGTCTGGTCTGGGCAGTGATGGCCTCACTACCCTCCCCTGACCGTCCCGGGCCATCCTGGGCCATGTCTGGCATCTAAGGGTTCTCATTCCATGTCAGCCCGGCAGTTTCGGCCCCTCTCCTCAGCTGTGGCTCTCCTCTGAGACCCCCAGATCTGTTCAGGGAATCCTTCCTGCAGGCAGGAACTGGGGGCTGGGGCAGCAACTGGAGGGAAACAGCACTCCATGGCTGGTAAGGAAACTGTTATATTTTCATTTCCCAGGAGACATCCTCCCTGGGTTTGGGGAGCAAGGACTTGGGGCCCTCAGAAATAGGCTCTGTAGTCCACCATTCTTCTGGGTCCTTCCTGAGTCCTGAAGAGGAGGTACTGTGAGGGCCCACCTTAAACATGCAGGAGGGTGAAGGCTGAGAGCTCTGGCAAGTTGTCTCCCTTCTCTGGGTCTCAGTTTCCCCGTTAGAAAACAATGAGGTTCCATTCATACAGTAACTCAACAAACCGGGCAGGGTAGGCCAGTCCCTGGGAAAGGGGGTAACGCCAAGCCCCAGGCCAATTTTGGTAAGTTAAGTCTCACTCATACCAAGGTTGCAGTCTGTGACTGAATCCAGGCTGTTTCCTTGACTCCTAAGACTGTCCCGAGTGGGGAGAGGGGACAAGAGACCAGGAAAGAAGACGGGACACCAAGAATCAGGGTTTGGGGGGTGGGTCTCCCTTGCCCTGGGACTCCTTTTCCTCATCTGGAAGAAGTCTTTGTTAGCTGGATCCTGTCTCTGTGCTGAGCGACTCAGAGAGGAAGGGGTGGGGTGGAGGATCAAGCTCTGTGTGTGTGTGTCTGTGTGTGTGTGTGTGTGTGTGTGTCTGTGTGTGCCTGTGAGTGTCTGTGTCTGTGTATCTGTGTGTCTGTGTGTCTGTGTATCTGTGTGTCTGTGTATCTGTGTGTCTGTGTGTGTGTGTCTGTGTGTGTGTGTGTTTGTGTGTGTGTGTGTGTGTCTGTGTCTTTGGATATACATTTCTGTCTCTTAGTCTGGGCCCCTTCCAGTGTATCTTGCCTTATATGCACTCTCTCTCTCTCTCTCTTGCTCTCTCTTTCTCTTGTTCTCTCCCTCCCTCCGCCTCCCTCCCTCTTTTCCTCTCTCCCTCCCTCTCTTCCTCTTTCCCTCTTTCCCTCCTTCCCTTTCTTTTTGTCAATTGTGGGGCTTTAACTCAGGGCCTGGGTACTTTCCCTTAGCTTTTTCTCACAAGGCTAGCACTTTACCACTTTGAGCCACAGCTCCGCTTCTAGTTTTCTGGTGGTTAATTGGAGATGAGTCTCATGGATTTTCCTGCCCTGGGCTGGCTTCAACTTGTGATCCTTAGATCTCAGCCTCTTGAACAGCTAGGCTTACAGGTGTGAGCCAGCAGCACTAGGCTATATATCTCCTTTGGTCTCTCTGCATGTATCACTCTGTCTCTGTGTGTCCGTGCGTCTGTCTCCTCTCGTGTCCCCTGTCTCTCTGGGTGTCTCACGCTTCTTCTGTTTCTCCCTGTGTGTCGGTCCATCCCTGGGTCCCCTCCCTCCATCTCTGCAGAGACCCCTGGAGAAGCCCGACGGTCTGGATGTATCTGACCAGAGCAAGGAGCATCCGCAGCATCTGTGTGAGAAGTGCAAGGTCCTGGGCTACTACTGCCGCCGTGTGCAGTGACTGCCATCACAGCCGCCACACCCTGCCAGCACCCTGCCAGCTGTCTGGCCTGCTGGCCACCACTTTCCTGGCTGCTCAGCGGGACTGCAAGGCTCCTGGCCGGGCCAGGGGAGGGGGCAGCCTTCTCAGGCTGCCGGCCTGGTCTGGGGGCTCCTGGAGGCCTTGAGAAGTTTGACAGCAGGGTTGTGGGAGGCAGGGGTTTGTAGAGAAGTAAAAGCTGAGGTCAGAGCTGGGATCCCTCGCCCTCTCCAGGCTCTTCTCCTGAGAGTCCCTTCTAAGTGAGCAGTCTTGTCTGGCCACCAGCGCACTAAATGAACTGTGAATCCCGAGATCTGTAATGGTGGGGGGTTGGGGGGAATCATCTCCTCAAAACCAGCCAGGTCAGCTCCCAGAACCTTCCAGCATGCTATGTGACAAGCCCCTCGCTGAATGTCCTAGTTTTCAATCCTTCACATGCCCTCACAGGGAGCAGACACCATTCTGGCCACGGCTGGGGAGGGGCTTCTGTTCCCAACCACACTCAGATCAAACCCCACCCACCTGGGATGTCACTGCATTGCCCCTCATCCAGGGTCCCCTTGAGCCTGGAGCACAGAGGGTGAACTGTTGGGCAGTGTTCTGTGAGTACATGGTGCACCCCCCTATTCCCATGACTCCTCTGGTCCAGAGACAGTCTCCCACAGGCTTGGGTCCTGCAAGCCCATTTCCTTCTCTCCCCCTTGGTCTTTCACCCCCATTAGGGGAGGGGGCTGTGATCCTACCAAGGCTCCCATATAGAAGCTGCCCTGGCAGGAAGGACTCAGGGGCAAAGACATATCATCTCTAGCCTCAGTTTCCCTGTCAGAGAGTGACACCAGACAGTAAAACTGACAGTGCCTGTCAGTTTTGATGCTGTCCAGATACCTCGCTGGGACAGAGAGCTTTATTTGGGGGGAATCCCAGGTTTGGGGGGAAGATACCTGTCAGACATTCCCCCATCAGTCCTTTAGGAAGTCAGGGAGAGGGAAGCTGAGTCCACCCCTGTGACCCCTGTGTTTATGTCCCCTTCCCTGCAAACACAGAAAAGGACCCTTCTCTTCACCTAAGTCTCCCCAAGCCCTCCTGGCTGGGGCAGGGGGCAATGCCTGAAACATGTCACAGAACCTCGCATTTGAAAACCGGGGACAGTGATTTCCTCCTACCTCCTAAGGGAGCCAAGAGGCCTCTGGGCACATCGTAGGGCAAGTAGAAACACACCCCTTCCCTTTCCCCAGTCTGTAGGTTGTCTTTTTCTCCCTGGGGAAGGAGAGAATCAGCAACCAGGATTGGTGGCTTGATTTTTTTTTCCCCCAACACTATGACTCTGTAGGAAAAAGAAGAAAAAAATAAAAAGAAGAAGAAGGAAAAGAAAAAAAGAAATCAGGCCACAAAATGGTCCTGAAATTCAAATGTTTACCATGGCTGGAGCATACCTGTCTGGTGCCTAGTCGCCTTCTGTTTGCAAGTGAACATGCTTTGTACAGTTGAAGAGTTACCGTAAAGTGTTAACCAAGGTCCAGGGAATGAGTGAGAGACTGAGTGCTTCTATAGGTGGAGCACTGTAGGATGGTTTTTTTGGGGGGGACATGCCCTCTGAGCACTTAAGATATGTATATTTATTTGCAGCCCTCCCCCACGCCCACCCATTGGGGGCAGCAAGCCGCTGCAGACAGCTTCAGCTCCCTCTAGGGACTGTCACCAAGGACTCCAGCCAGCTGCTGCCCTGGGGGAAGAGCTGGTGGCCATGACCTAGTGTTTTTGTCCTCCAGAAGGAGCTGTTGCTGTCAGTCATCCTTCTGAATGTTGGGGGTGGGGGATGGAGCCGTGTGCTTGTCTCAGCTGCGACAATGAATGGGGTCCCTTGGCTAAGGAGATCTAAGGCCTGCCAACCCGGCTGCAAAGGTAGGGAGGAATCCCACACCCCGAACAGAACACAGACTCCAGACCACAAGAAGCCAGGCCAGCAGGAGAGCTGTCACCCCAAAGTGACCTTTTTGTTCGGTGGCTGGTCCAGCTGGCGGGCATTACCCTGTAATGACATCTGTGCAGAGTCCTGCCTTTCCACCTCCACCTCCGCCTGGGGCAGTCCCTACGTGCCTCCTTTCTCTCTGACTTTGGGAGCTTTCCAGGGTCAGCAAAAGACACCACTGCCCAAGCTAGTGCTTGGAGAATTAAGTGCTCAGAGGATCTGGTAGCCCAGGGTACAGGAAAGTGTGCAGTTGTAATTAAGTTCAAAAGGGACATTTGCGTGTATTAAGTAGATCTAGCGATCTAGTTGAGAGGTTATAGTGGATGCCATATACATGAAGTACTCATAGCTCTATTTGTGAATTTGTATTTATTTTGAGTTATACTTGACACAGAATTCCTTTTTTAAAAAAAACAAAATAAAAATACTATGTGTGTATTATGAAGGGGAAAAATTCACAGATGTTAACATTTCTGAATGACCAGTTTTTGTCACAACACTGAATTTGGTAGCTTCTCATGGAAAAAAAAATCTTACGGTGATTTTTTTTTTTGTCTGTATATATTTGAGGGCCTTTTTAAAAAAAGAAAAAAGAAAAAAGAAAAGGATGATTATGGTTTGATATTTTTGAGATTTTAAAAAGCAAAGAAAAAGGAGGCATTTTTCAACACTTCAGTTTTTTTAGGAAGGCAATAAAATATTAAAGATTTCTGGAAGCATTTTGCAAAGCCGTTTGAGCTGAAAGAAAATATTTGTAGTGAGAACTTTTCTCTTTTTCCTATTATTAGCTTTTTTATTATTATGCTTTAGTATGTAAAAAGTATGCAACCGAATTACATTAAGAAGGAAATATTATCTACATAGAATATTATATGAAGTGGGTACATAATTCTGATGAGAGAAAAAAATCTTTGCAATTCTCTAAGCCATATTATTAGTCTGTATTGTCCCTCTTGGGTGAAAATATCAGTATTAAATAGTAGCCAGTGTACTAGTCAAATGTTTAGATTTATTAATATGCTCTTGTATTTATACATATGTGTATTTTGGAACATATTGCCTTTCTTAAGGGGAGCTCTTTATAGACACATAGCAAAAAAGGGGGGGAGCAGTGACCCCATTGTGTGTTTGTTAATGTTGATATTAACTAACACACCATTGTAATAGATGTTCTCCAGCCTTTGTGTTTTTCTATTATTAAGATGATTTTATTAAATTTCATGGGGGGATGCAGGGGAAAGGGGGGTATGGACAAGGGGAAGAAAGCTTTTGATAAACCAGCCCTCTTCCATGGACCAGCCAGACCCAAGAAGAGGGGGAGAGGCAGCGCCAGCCACAGCCTTCCGGTGGCCCTGCCCAGCTTTTGTATATGAGCCATGCCCCTGGGCCCCCTCGCTCTGTGAACTTGGATCTGCCCACCTGCCCCTCCAACATCTAATAGACTTGAATCTACGCCGAACAAATACTTAATCCAACCTCACTACATTGTAGCCCAGTGTAACAACTAACCCTAAAATAAAAGGGAGGTGTTCCTGCCCGCAGTGAAGTGGCCGAGTGCCAAGGCCTGCCCACCTGCGCCTTCCCCAGGGCTGGTGGCATCTGTGATCACCACTCTCATGGCCAACCTCACTGTTTGACCTCCACCCCCTTGTCCCTTGTCCTTGTCTGTGTGTGTGTGTGTGCGCGTGTGTGTGTGTGTGTGTGTGTGTGTGTGTGTCCAGCTAAAAAGACAAACAGAACCCGTGGGCCCCCACTTGGAGGGTAGCTGGTATAGACCACCCACCCTGCCAAGGGCGCCCGGGATGGCATTCCGTTGTGTGCCTTATACCTGGAGACTCTGTATTTGGCTTGCCTATGGGACTATATCCTTTTCATGCTGTATTAAAAAGGACTTTGAAAAGCAAGAGGCTTGTGGGTTTGTTTACACTGGGCACCAGGGGAAGATGGACGTTTTCACAGGCCAAGGACAACGCCAGTGTGGGGAGGGGCTTGGGCAGCAGCAGGTCTTGTCTTGCCTCTGAGTTCTTAATCTGATCTGCCTCCTCCCAGCCTCTCTGCCCCCAAGTGGACACCATCTCCGGGGTGAGGCCTCTCCTCCAACTGGGCCCCAGGCTGGGTGAGATTGTTGACAGATTAGGTCACACATCAGCTCAGGGCTGGGCCTCTGGGTAACCATATATAGGAGAGAATCTGCCTAGGATGGCAGGCTAGGGCCTGGCAGGGGCTGCTAACAGTTTGGCCCTCTTCGTTGAGATTGTAATTGCCTCTCCAGGCCCCAGGTACCCCACAATAAATAGATGGACGTGGCTGTGATAGAAAGTTGGTGAGTGGGAAGTTTTCCTTCTGAGCAAATCCAGGATTAGGAGGAACCACAGAGCCGCAAGGAAACAAGGCTAGCAGAAATCACCTGTTTGCATCCCGCTTACCAATCGCCTCCAGATCCTTTATTTTGCATTTACTTATTTTTATCTATTTATTTATTTTTGCCAGTGCTGAGGCTTGAACTCAGGGCCTGGGCACTGTCCCTGAGCTTCTTTAGCTCAAGGCTAGCACTCTACCACTATGAGCCACAGCGCCACTTCCGGCTTTTTCTGTTTATGTGGTCCTGAGGAATTGAACCCAGGGCTTCATGCATGCTAGGCAAGCACTCTACCATTAAGCCACCTTCCCAGCCCTTTATTTTCTATTTATTTATTTAATGCTGGTACTGAGGCTTGAACTCAGAACCTGGGTAGCTCAAGGCTGTTGCCCTGTCATTTGAGCCACAGCTCCACTTCTGGCTTTTTACTGGTTAATTGGAAAGAAAACAAACTTCAGGATACTGCAGCCTGTATTTCTACATCTCCCACAGCCCTGGAGACTAGTCATTCCCCCAAACAGGAAGGGCTTCCGGTTGGACTAAATGGCCATGTCCAGAGGCAGTGACTACTGAGAGACTCAGAAGAGAGCAGAGTCGACCCAAAGAGGGACCGCCAGAAGGCCCTGGATCTGGATGTGGCTGAGACTTCCCTAGAGGAGAAAGTCTCCCCCAGCTTCACCCAGCAGACGTGTGTAAAACCAGGATCTGAACCTTGTGTTTTAGGCAGAGCTGGGACTAAGACTGAGTTGCAAAGGATGGTGAGGAGTGAGTCCCACAGCAGACTTACAGGTCAAGAAGCCCAGCACGGGGAGGGAAGTAGGGCCGTAGCGCCACTGCTGGAAGGTTGTGTAAGGAGCCTTAATAGCATCTGCTTTGGCCCTGGAGAGGAAGATGGAGCAGACCTGGGGAGACCAAAAGTGTGGAGTTCAGACAGCAGCAGCCGCAGAGCCTGCTGGGAGTTTAGGGCCCCCAGGTGTGTGACTCTGTCTCCTAATATGTGACACAAAGCACTCAGGATACCCTGGGGGCTGGCATCCCAGCTGTCCCTGCCCCAGCCCAGGGATGGCTGCAGCCTGACCCCAGCCCCCACTGTACTGGGAAGATCCTCACAGCAGGCCCTCCTGCTGTTTAGGCTCTTTGGTATCCTGTGTCCTCCTAACAGCCCTGGTGGGACAGTAGGCCAACAGGGTGGGTGGGGAAGCTGAGGCTGGGGAAGGCTGACAGCAGGGTCCTTTGTGGCATCGCCAGCCCCTGTTTGCGATCTGATCCTGGTGAGGTCCTCACACCCCCATCTCCCACTTCTGCAGAGTTGGCCCCACCAGACCACAGCAGCCCCTCCGATGCCCTGACCCCCAGCCCTGTATACCTGGAAGTTCCAGGCCAGGCATCCAGAGATCTGCTACCTTTCAAGCTCAGCTCTCCAGGGTCAGATGTTCTGGCTGCTCCCCGAGAGCTCTAGCTACAGCCAGGAACAGCCTGTCCTCAGTGCTCGGCACTCTGTGTGGAGGCCCCTCTGCCCCCACTCCCACCCCCCTTTACCTATCCTGAGGCTGGATTCCCAGCAGAGGCACCAGGCTGCTGCTCCCCAGTCCCCAACTCCACATATTAATGCAATCACATGCATGCATGCATGCGCGCACGCAAGACAAACACACACACACACACACACACACACACACACACACACACACACACACACACACACACACACCACAAACAGGCTCCAAGGGCCAAGTCATGGATGGCAGGGCTGCACTGAGGGCGGAACATGGGCTCCAAGCAGCCAGTGTCTGCTGAGTAGCCCTTCCCAACCCCTAACACATTCAGTCAATGCTCACAGACAGAGAAGTAAACTTCCTGTAGGCCCTGCCACCTCTTGCCTCACAGGCCAGGCGTCCACCACCATGAGCTGAGGACTCCAGCAGGGACCCTGCCCAGCCCAGCCCAGAGAGCAGTCTACCCTCCTACTCCACACAGCTGAGGCAATTTGTGTTGTGTGAGGTATGGTAATGGCCCTGGGATGGTGACAAACGATGTCCTCGTCTGTTCCATACTGGAGCATGGAGGTGACATGAAACCATCCGTGGGGTTGTTTTCAAGCAATCCAGAATTGCAAGGGAAGAGGATGTGTTCAGAGGACCCTGGTAAATGGATGGATGGTGGCTGAAGAAGGGTTGGGAATTTGTGTCTGTCCTCACACCTGGGCAGGACGTGAGCTCCAAGGTGAGCCAAGCAAGGAGGGTATACAGTAGTGAGGGCGGGGTGGGGCCTGCCCAGCTGCCATGCCCTCAAACCATCATTTCCCTTCTGTATAGTGACCAGTGGGGACCGCTAGGAGTCATCTCTTGCAGATGAGACAGCTGAGGTTCAGAGAGGTTGAATAACTTCTCCAAGACCTTAGAGCTGGTAAAGAGCACAGCCCCTCCCCGAGACACCCTCCCTCTGTTCCCTACTCCCAAGGCACAGCAGGTGCCCTGGCTGATCCCCTCTTTCTGCAGCCTCTGTCGCTCAGCTGCCTTCCCAGACAGTGCAGTGTTGCCACCCTTCCTGAGTGAGTCCCTGTGCTCTGCCCTGGCCCCTCACCCCTGTCCAGACCCCCGAACAGTCTTCCTGAGAACCATCCAGTGCAGGCTGGTGGTTACTGAAAGCTTGTGAGGCAATCAGAACCCAGGCCCAGCCCTCCAACCCCCATCAAGGCTTTCTCTATGCACCCCCTTCCATGTCTGCCCTTGACAGTTTCCCAGGTGCCCCTTGGAGGTGGTTATGGCTCTGCTCCTGTCTCCACTGTGGTCAGAATGAGAAAATCTGATGGGCACCCATGCTTCATCTCCCTACGCATGCTCTCCATGTGGCTCCACAGCCTGCAGGAGCCATCAGCTGAGCTCAAGTCTCCTCCCAGACCCTTCATCATAGTTTAGGAAGCACACGGCTTCCTCCCCAGAGAAGCCCTCCACGCTGGGAGCTGAGCCATTCAGCTTCCCTTCTGCCACCTTTTCTACTTCCCCTACTCACTTCTGGATGCTAGGCTGGCCCCTTTACCTCCTGTAAGGTAGCCAGGGCCAACAGTTCCTGCTGTGGCCTCTTGTCTTTCACCCTCATCCTGGGCAAAACATCTGGGTTCAATGGACTGAATGGAACCTGTTTCCTCCCTTGTAAATGGGAGTCAAGAGCCTTCTGAGAGCAGGATCACGATAAACTAGGTGAGCAGAAAGGCATTTGACACATGGGGTGTGCTCAGAATGGGCCTCCTCCCCTCCCCTGCAAGGGTCTCTGAATCCTTCACCCTGGTAGGCTGGCAGTGTGGAGCCCACACCTTGCCCCAGGACCAGCCCTGGGAACGCTTCTGGAACTGCCATTCCCTTCCCTTCTTCAGACAGACACCTTGTTCAGTTCTTCTGACAGAGCCTCTGCCTCTGTTTCCCTGTTGTTCTGTGGCAAAAGACCCTTGTCCATGACATAGATACCTAGTCCTCTTTTCCCTGGAACCCTGGTCTGGCACCATAGTGGAGACTCCTTCAAATTGTGTGGCCTGCTCTCCCAGAACAAAGTGGCCAAGGCAGAGTTCACATTTACTTTTTTCTTGTGCTAATTGGATTGTCCCCTGCCGCCCTCTGGTGGCTAATTTTAAGAACTGAACTACCTACTGGCAGACCAGCCAGTTCTGTATGGACACAAAAGGGATCTCTCAGACGGTCCCTCCCCTCCCCCCCCCCCCCCCCCCCCGCTCCTCCCTCGCTTCCCCCTCCCCCCCAACGTACCCACACACACATCCCAGGTGAACCCTGATTCCCCCTCCCCCGGCATCATACATTTGTACTTGAGAAAAACTGCCAAGTGGTAATATTGGGCTTTTTCCCCTTGGTTATAAAAATGAATATGGCCAGTACCAGTGCCTCATGCCAGGACAAGAAAACGTATGAAACTCTTATCTCCAATTAACCACCCAAAAAAGTCAGAAGTAGAGCTGTGGCTCAAGTAGTACAGTGTTATCCTTGAGGAAAAAAGTTCAGAGATAGTGTTCAGAACCTGAGTTCAAGCCCAAGGACCAGCACAAAAGGATAATGTGAAGTGGAAACAACACAGAAAGAAAGCTCTCATGCCCCATGACCCAACCTCCCAGAGCAATCTTGTCTAGACAAAACTCAACCATGTCATCATCTCAACCATAGTCATCATCTTCCTCCTCCTTCTTTTTCTTCTTTTCCTCCTTCTTGTTCTTTTTCTTAATTTTTAAGATAAAGAAACCTAGTAAGTCAACAGTGGCAATAAAAGCAATCATTTGAGAGGAAAAAAAAACAATTCAAAAGAAAGAAGAGAACAAATGACAGATAGGACCCACAGGAAACAACTGGTAAACCCATTTATCTTAAATTAGCCACATGTGCAATTACATGAAATGGAAATGATCTAAATATTTGATTGTTAGATTGGCTAAGAAAAGCAATGCTCAGTGCACCAGGGATCTGTCTCTTGTCTCCTGTGGCACTGGACCCATCACCTTGCCATGTGAGTTACACCAGGCTTCATGCACAGAGGGCACTGGGAAGGTGCCCTGGGTCTCAGCACTCTCTCCTAAGCCACTACATCTCCCTGTTCATGCTGCTGTGTGGTCCTGTTTGGACCCTGACCATACAGAATGGAGAGAAGCAGTGGTCCCAGGAGATGGAATGTGAACATCTGTTAAGCTGTACTCTTGGCCTTGAAGGCACGGGGGAATGGTATGCTGGCAACCCATGGTGTGCAGTGACGTCAGAATGAATCATGTTATCACTTGTTTTAAGTGGCATGTGCCACAGGAGGCCAGGTGACTATAGCCATGACCACCACTGTAGTAGAGATGACAATAAAGATGGTGATGTGCGGTAAATTCCTTGGAGGATGTTTGATGGCTTAGCAAAAGACAACCAAACATGAATGCCCTTCGATTCTGAGGATCAGAATCTGCCACTCTTAATGTCACTCTGTCACTCTTAATGAGTCTCTTATTCTTGTAGGCACTGGGATGATAATCCTTAACTGGTTTTTAATTTTAAAAAAGAGACAGGCACTGGTAGCTCAAGCCTGCAATCCTAGCTAAGTAGCCAGGAGGCTGAAATCTGAGGATCACAGTTCAAAGCCAGCCCAGGCAAAAATGTCCATGAGACTTTTATCTCCAATTAACCACACACACACACACACATACACACACACACACACACACACACACACACACACACACACACACACACACACACACACACACGTGCGTGCCAGAAGTGGAGCTGTGGCTCAAGTGATAACTTGAGCATAGAAGCTCAGCGACCACTCTCAGGCCCTGAGTTCAAGCCACAGGACCAGTCCCCCCGTAAAAAGTTTGTGTGTGTGTGTGTGTGTGTGTTTTAGCAGTACTGGCATTTGAATGTCATGCTTGCTAGGCAGGTCTCCAGTCTTTGGTATCACTTAACATCAAACAAAAACTTAATTGTGGCTGAGCTCTAGTGGCTCACATCTGTAATCCTAGCCACTCAGGAGGCTGCGATCTAAGGATCTTGATTCAAAGCCATCCCTGGCAGAAAAGTCTACTACTTTGTAACAAGTGTAATAAAGGGTTCATCCTCTACCTCATTCTGGTTTTTCAAGATTGTTTTGGTTATTCTGGGTCCTTCATAATTGCCCAGGAATGTTAGAATCTTCTTGTGAATTTGTAATAAACCAAACTGTTAGGAGTTGCATCACATGTGTAGGCCATTTTGAAAACTACGACATTTGGCCAGTCTGTCTTCAGATCCATGGATATAGAATGCTCACTGTAGAAGGCTTTCACACATTTCTGATCTTTCAGATGAGAACAAACATGTTTACATGGTGTCACGTGTGCCCACATTTATGGGAGCACCTGCAGGGACCACCTTGACATTTGTCTATCAACCAGTGATGCTCCCTGGCCAGCAACAAGTCAGTATTTTCTTCATATTGCACTTAAGACTCTTGCTATATACAAGAAACAAGTCCAGGTTTCTGTGTGGAGGGCTGAGAGGACTGCAGGGGATGGTGCTGATTTGGGGGAAGTGTTCCTAAAATATTCCTGCCTGTTTGGTCTACACACCTCCCCCCCCCCCCAACTCCTAAGGACACATCTACTTCCCCAGTGAAAAATATCAGGTAGATAATTACAACCCCCCCTCTCTCCCAGCCTCTGTCACCCAAGGGTTGTTCCTCAAACTTGTTGCTGCTCTCTGGAGTGCTAGGAGGAGCCTCTGGAGGGCCCACAGTCATGGTTTTGACCGTGGTTGCACAGATCAGTTGTGTAGGGTATGTGTGACTCCTCAAGGCCTTGATCCTGTGTTCTCTGAACTGGCAGAGGCCACTCGGAGACCTAACTCATTCTGCCAACTCACAGGGTCACCAGTGGCCATCACAATCCCTCTAGGGGCCTCAGGTTACCTACCAAGAATGATTAGGCAGAACAAATGATTACAAGTTACTCTTCAGCTCAGATCCCAATTCTCAAGTGAAGTCCCTTGCTGAGTCTCACTGGAAGGAAAATGGCGAGTACCTATAAAATAGCCTTGGGGGTCATGCTGATCTCCCTCATGCTCCCCTCTGAGCATCCCAAAGCTTTCAGAACTGTTAGAAAATCACCAGTCCTGCTGCTCCCAGCCCATGCAGTGGAACTGAGCTCATGGAGTCTGACTCAAGGATCCAACCCCAGCCACTATGACTTCAGAGGGACCGTGATGACCCATGCAACCTGTGACCTGCAAATGGATTCAGAGAAACCTGTGGGACACCCCAACCAGAGCCCAGAGCCCCGAATTATCCTCCTGGCCCTAAACAACACTCAGCCCTGGCTAAGGAAGCTCACCACCACCCTGCCCCAACTTCCAATTCTACTTGGAATCCAGAAATAACAGAATTCCAACTTGAGTTTGGATTTGCCAAGCAGTATAAAACCCACTCCTCATCTTAGGTTAAGATCATCCTTTCCTAATGGCCTGACACATGAGGTGTCAGGGCTGTCATTCCAGGGTGCTTATCGCAACCACACACCAGGCCGAGTGTTGAGTGTATTGACCACACCCTGTATGACATAGGAATTACATACCCATGATGCAGCTGAGGAAAATGGAAATGTGGTTACTAAGGGGCAGAGCCAGTGCTCAGGTCTGGAGCTGTAAATGCTAAGATGGTCTCCAGTCCTTCATCTCTAAAGCAGATGACAACAGGTCATGCAAATCCTTGGCAGAGGCTAGGCACTTGCCTAGCATGTCTTGGGCTCCACTGCCAGCAGTGGGGAAACCAAGTTCTCATCATGGCACCCAGTACATGGCAACTTCAAAAGCAGGTGCCAGAGTTCAGTTACAGATGAACTTCTTTTTGAAACCAGACACCAGTCTGTTATAGAAAATAGGATTTATTATCACATTTAAGGTGAACACTCATGTTTCAGAAACTTTTCATGTATACCATCAGTTGACTAGATTTATTCAACACACAGAAAAAGCAACAAGCACCAGGAACTATTTTCTTCCTGAGCACAGGGCACTTCCAGAAGTTTCCAACATGGGATTCACATTGACTGGGACCGCTCACAAGTCTGTTCTCAGGCCCACTATGCCATGGGCGCTCCTCTAAAATGATAACAGCAGATGGCCCTGGTGGCTCACACCTGGAATCCTAGCTACTCAGGAGGCTGAGATCTGAGGATTGTGGTTCAAAGCCTGCCCAGGCAGGAAAGTCTGTGAGACTTTTTATATCCAATAAAAACTACTAAAATAAAAGCCAAAACTGGAGCTATGGCTTAAGTAGTTAAGCAAAAGAAGCCAAGGCCCTGAGCTCAAGCCCAGGGACTGGCATCAAAAAAATAAAGACAACAGCAAATCAGCAGGGTTCACAGTAACTAGAAGGAAAGTTCTCGCTCTTGGAGTCTGTCACCAAAGCCCTGAGTTGTGTTTCAAATCTGGAGCCTAGGGTTTTGAGGCCTGAGCCAACAGGTGGCATCAGTTTGGCACAGCTGGGACCACAGTTTCATTTCTAAGCAATGCCATTTGCTGAGTTACTGCAATGTGGAAGCCAGCAATGGTCAGCCAGTGGCTGCCCACCTGCGTGAAGGAAGAGGTTAAAAGCCATCCTTCCTCAGATAAACCCGTCACCACCAACAATGTCCAGGCACCCATGAGCCCGGGCTGCCAGTCACGGAGACACACTGGGGGTCCCGAAACAGGGCTGTGAAGAAGGGCAGACAGTGAGAAGCACCCTGGCAGGTCCTGGTGGAGGTGTGGGCTCCCGAGTGGACTTTCTCAGACATGCAGTGACAGGGCCTGTGTGCCCCTGGGTGCCTGAATACCATCCTCACACCCTGGCCACTGATCAGCTCAGCTGGCCACAGTCTGTGATGACAATCTTCTTAGATGTCTTCCCACTCTTGGAGCCGAAAGACTCTATTTTCTTTACGACGTCCATGCCCTCTTTGACGTGTCCAAACACGACGTGCTTGCCATCCAGCCTGGGAGGAGGGGTGAGCTGGGTGAGCACAAGTGGGAAGTGCCAGGCCACCCCGGGTTCGAGCCACTCAGGCAGAAACAGGTTGGATCCTCCAACCCGAAACACAAACTCAACCTGAGCTCCCCAGAGGTGCCCCAGAGGATGCCCAAGCCCCAAGACATGTTCAGTCACTCCCGCCCGGTGAGATTATGCCCCAAGCTGTTCTACCCCATCTGTGATCAGTGAATCACCATGTTCTGCCTGGGATGGCAGAGCATGGAGTGACTCTTAACAAATGAGAAATCTACAGAAATGGAACTTCTCAGCAATGACAAGAGTGGGAAAATATGGAAGTCCTGAGCATGAGCAGTTCCTGACTGGAGAGTTCTAACAGTGCAAGAAGCCCTTAGCTCAGCTCATAAAGCCAGGAGAGTTGACAGCTAAGGGCAGACTCCTAAGGGGTCCTGGAGGGTAGACAATGCCACTGGTGATTCCCCAAATCCTGGAAATGGGCTTTATGAAGCCCAGCTCCTGGCCAGATGTTATCCATCAACCCCAGGTGTTGAGACACCAGGGACTCTGTGCAGAGAAACATGCTTTACTGGAAACTTCACCAGGGAAAAGATAACCCTGGAATCTGTGGGCACTGAGAAAGGGACTGTAAGTGGCTGGGAGTCACGTGTTGATACAGGACGTGATCAGAACATGCTGTGACACTCAGTTTCTCTAGATATGTTCCATGATGGAGGAAAACCAGAAGAAAGAGGGTAAACCAAGCAAACTGCCTTCTACTCGGGACAGAATGAAATCTAACATATAACGGAATTTCCCAAAGCGGTGTGTGTGTATATGTGTACAGATGGGTCTATAGGGGTGTATGTGTATGTATGTACTGGGTTATGGGTCAGATCCAGCAATGAGAAGGCTACTTATGAGCAAGCTGGAATTTCAGGAAGATTCTCCCCCAAGCCTTTCACTGAATGTCTCTAAACAGATACACAGTCAGGAAGGCCACTGTCCTGGGTTAAACGCAGCCATACACTATAGCTACAAGGCTGGGCCCTCATTCCCAGAGGGCCTGGTATGGAGACTTACCAGTCTGTCTTTATGGTGCAAATGAAGAACTGGGAGCCATTGGTGTTGGGGCCTGCGTTTGCCATGGACAGGACACCTGCAAAAGCAAGCAGAGGTGAGGCCTGGGCCCAGGGCCAACACCTGGTCCCTGGGCTGGCTGCCCTTTGCTGCCTGCTATGTCTCAGTGGGGTGCCTTGGGGAAGCTTCTCAGTGGTAAAGCTATGGCCCCATCTCTACGTTTCCACATTCTACCTTGGGTCCATGGTGCAGTTCTGCTTCAAGGTTCTCCCACACCAAGTTCCCAAAGGGAAGTCTGTTTTTTAAACTGGGAGCTAGGAATAAGAAGGTTCTGGGGAAACACAGCAAGCCAGAAATTCTAGGCTGCCCAGATACTCCAGGAAGAGAGACTCGTCATAGGATATTTGTTTGTTTGTGTGTGTGTGTGTGTGCGCGCGCCTGTACTGGGGCTTGAACTTGGAGTCTGAGTGCTGTCTCTTAACCTTTTCACACAAGAATGGCATGCTACCACTTGAGCTACAGCTCTACTTCTAGCTTTTGGGTGGTTAGCTGGAGATAAGAGTCTCACAGACTTTCCTGCCCAGGCTGGTTTTGAATTGGGATCCTCAGATCTTGGCCTTCCGAGTAGCTAGGATCACACAGGTGTGAGCCACCGGTGCCTGGCCTCAGCAATTTTGACTGTTTGACTGCATTCTTCCAGGGCTGCTTGGCAGGGCCGCGGTTGGGCAGGGCAGGCGGGCAGTTGGGGGGGGGGGGGGGGGGAGGGTGTGAATCCAGCTGGGCTGCAACTACAAGGTTCACTCAGGAGTTGGGGACCCCATCCCCGCCACATACCTGGTCCCTCGTGCTTCAGTGTGAAGTTCTCATCAGGAAAGCGGCTCCCATAGATGGATTTCCCCCCAGTGCCGTTGTGGTTGGTGAAGTCCCCTGCCTGCACATACAACACCCGCTGAGTGGTGGCCACAGAGCTGTCCCAGAGCTCAGAGGCAGCCCCCAACCCACCCCGGGCCTACCCAGCTCCTGAGGCCAAGGGAGTGCTGCTATTCATCCTTACTCAATGAAGCAAGAACTAATGAAATAACCAAGAAACGAAGCAAAAAGGAAACAAAGCTTAAATAGCCCCTACCAGAAGAATAACCCTGGCTTCTGAACAGCACAATACACCTTTTGACAGAGCAATTTTTTGCGGGGGTGGGGTGGGGTGGGGGGTGGGGAAGAATTGGTCATGGAGCTTGAACTTAGGGCCTGGGCACTGTCCTTGAGCTTTTTTGCTTAAGGCTAACACTACCACTTTAAGCCAAATCACCACTTCTGGTTTTTTGGTGGCTAATTGGAGATAAGAGTCTCACAGACTTTCCTGCCTGGGGTTGGCTCTGAACTGTGATCCTCAGTCCTCAGTCTCTAAATAGCTAGGATTACAGGTGTGAGCCACCAGCACCCGGCTGGAGCAAATTGTTAAGTCTCAAAAGATCCATCTGCGATGTTTCCTAGTGACTCAGGATTTCTACACTTCCACACTTAACTCAGGAGCACCATTCCCAAGTGTGGCGTGAGGGAGCGGGCAGCTCCCATGTCCAGGTATCCCTCTCTCACGAAGCCCAGCAGTTCTGACCAGGGACAGCGCCCACCACAGTTGGTGCCAGATGCCTGGGAAGCCCTGCAGGACTTCTATGGAGTTCTTGCCCTAGGAGCCAGTAGTTGTCCTGGTGTCTCCAGTCACTGGCTATGGCCACAGAGCAGATTTCCTGAGGCGGGATCCTTAAGTTGAGAAAGGTAAGCTGCCCAGTCCAGCTAAAGCATCTACAAATCCCAGGAAGATATCTCCAGATGCCTGGGGTGGCCTGGGCCTCTGGGGATTACTACCTCATGTCATAGACTGTGTTCTGGCTCTGGAAGGCCATGCCTGGCTCCTTTACCCACCTCAGATCTGGTTCCTATCCACAGGCCCCAGACAGAGCTGGGAGCCTGTAGCAGCGGCCAGGTCACAGCCTTGCCTGCCCCTCCATGCCTGTTCCATGTTTAATCAGACTCAGGCATCATGGAGTCAGCATTCACATGGCATGCCAGCCCCTAGATGGGATGGGGAGGGAATTTGGGGCAAAAAGGATTCAGAGCTCCCTGACTTCTGCTCCTGCCCCAGGATCCTGAGGGTCTGCTCCAATAAAGAACATCCTCCCCAGCTCCTGACATACCATGGAAGTTCTTGTTACTATCCGCTCCTCAACCTGACACAGCAGTATCAATGCTTTTGATGTGCAAGCAGGTTATGACTAAAGAAATTCATTTGACCAAGAAGATGCACTTGCTGGGAAAAGCAGCTCCAAGTCCAGACTTGTGCATTTCTGCTTGGCCCCGCCATCATCCTCCTCCTCTCCCTTTCTTCCTTCCTACCTCCTATGCCTAGTAGTCAGGGGGTAGGCAACACACATGGGGATCAAAGTCAGACACCAGAAGTCTCCACTGGCTCTATGAAGCCTTCAGGCCCCACCACCCCCAACCCCTCGCCTATGACATGATCAATGTCACCCATGCAGCTGGACAGGGCCTCTGTTCCACTGGCCTTGTTGCTTGACTTCTGGGCAAGCAGAGGCCCTGGTAGCTTGGACAGTGTAGCCTGTCAGGGTGAGCGGACAAGCCAGTGAGGTACTCACAGCAGCTCCCTATTCCCTGCATACGTACTCATCAGTATCCCCCACAGCTTCTAGGCACCTCCCACTACCATCCATACTCATAGCCCAAGTGACGGAAGTTCAAAGACCACATTACCTGACACATGAAGTCTGGGATCACCCGGTGGAAGGTAGAGCCTTTGTAGCCAAAGCCCTTCTCACCAGTGCATAGGGCTCTGAAGTTCTCTGAAAGGAGGGACAGGAAGGTCAACATGGTGGGCCCCACAGCAGGCTCATGCCAGTCCCCACAGAAGGTACATCAGGTATGTTCCCCTTTCCTAGGTCTACAGTGCCTGAATGACTACGTGACTGGAACATGTCACTTCCCTCCCCTGTCCCCAGTGCCCAAACATAGTGACAAGAGTACAAGCTCTTAGCTGTGCCAGCCAGATAGCAAGGCATGGAGTCCAAGGCCCAGTCCATGTTACCCAGCCCTGCCCACTCAGGCAAGAGAAAGAGGCTGGGAATTTACATGAGCCTCCCACTGGTTCTGGCGGACAGAGCTAATAGTGAGGCCTAGAAAGGGACAGAGCCTGTCCTAAGTTGCCCAACAATTGAGCCTCATGTGAAACTCTCTCCTGGTCAGTTTTCCCCCAGACCACCTAAGCCTCCCCACTCCTGCCCACAGGGAACTGAGAAGGTCCTGGCTCTGCCTTACCTGCTGTCTTTGGGACAACATCTGCCTTCAGCTGTGGGGAGGTAAGAGAGACAAAAAGATCATCACACCAGGCACAGGAAGCTGCCTCCCCACCACCCAACACCACAGTGACCAGAGCAGCTTGAGGAAGAGCCCCCCTGGCCATTCCGCCTGTTCCTGTGACTGCCAAATCCTGAAGTAGCAGGGAAGCAGCTATCACTGTGGCAAGATGCTTCCTGAACCTGAGGCTTGGGGAGGCAGCCTCAGTTTCCTAGCCTGTCAGCAGAGATGACAGTGCCACTCTGGCCCACTTCCTGGGCAGAGCTAGCAGGGAGCTTCTTCCACTGGGGGCCAGCATCAGAGGTGCCTGGCCTAGATTAAGAAGAGGCAGGTCCTCAATACACAAATACAATACAAGCTCCTCAACACACAGATGGGAAACTGAGGCTCAGAGAGAGGCCAGAGGGGACAAGTTGGAGATAGTGAGATTGTTAACAGCCAAGCTGGCCTCTGGCCTCTTTGGCTTTGAAAGTCACACATACACTAAATGTGGTCAGAGTGTGAGCCTCACTTTCCAGAAAAGTAAACTGAGGCATAAAAAAAAAATTCCAAGGCTTCCCTGGAAACTGATCCATCAACACTGCTCAAAGTGAAGTAGCATGAAGGTGACATTGGAGCTCCTCAGTTCCCCAGGGCCTGTTTCCTCGGAGGGGAGGGAGAGAATCTTGAACTCTAAGGGCCTAGGCACTGTCCCTAAGCTTCTTCACTCACTCGAAGCTGGTGCTCAACCACTTGAGCCACAGCTCCACTTCCAACTTTTTGGCTCATAGATTTTCCTGCCCAAGCTGGCTTAGAACCTCGGTTCTCAAGATCTCAGCCTTCTGAGTGGCTAGCATTACAGGCCACAGGCATTGGTTGTTCCCTATTTTTTTTTTAAAGGGCCCGAAGAAAAGGCAAGTGCTGAGTGTCCATCCCCACGAGGGGGGTTGGGTTGGGTTCCTGGGACACCCACGAGGGACACCCGGGTCAGTCTAGGGGCTAGTGCCCACCTTTCCGCTTCCATTCCACTCCGGGGGGCGGGGAGGTGGGAAAGTGGGACTGCCAGGACCGGGTCACCTCGTAGCTCCTGGGGTGGCCACGTGGGCGCCCAGCTCCGTCCACCGCCCAGGCCCCAAGGGCCACCCCAGACCCACGTCCACTTCAGAGCTAGCCCCGAGGGGGGCCTCGAAACCCCTTCCTCAACCCGGGTCGGCGAGGGCCGCCCGCGGCCCCCTGACCTTGAACTTTCTTCTCCTGCCCTGCTCCGCCTCCCACCTCCACCGTTCCCAGCGGCCCACAAAGCGGGAATCGGAGGCCCCGAGCCCGGATGCGGGGCCCAGGGTCACCCAGGCCGGCGGGGCCTGCGACCTCACCTCCAGCACCACGCGGCCGAGCGGCTGCCCGTCGGCGCCCACGTCCAGGTACACCAGCGGGTTCCCGGCAGAGGCGGACGCCGGGTTTCGGGCGCCGGCGCGGGCCGCGGAGCACCGCAGCGGCGCCGAACAGGGGCGGGAGAGCGGGCGGAGGCCGAGCAGGCGGGAGCCGCAGCGCAGCGCCAGCATCGCGGGCGGACGGGAGACGAACACTCGAACCAGAGGCCGCGGCGCTAAGGCCGCGCGCGCACAGGAAGCGGTCCCGGAAGCCGCCCGCGGCCGCTTTTATGAGTCTTTTGGCCACGCCCACGCCACGCCCACGCCACGCCCCCTACGGGCTCGTCCGCGGGCGACCTCTGCCGGCGCCAGACGGCAGTGCCGGCCCAAGGACGTGAAGTCCTTTGAACTGATCAGGGACAGAACCCTTCCCAGAGCCACAAACAACTGTACCCTCCGCTTCCCTCCCCAGCAAGGCTGGTTCCTTTTGGTGAGGACCCCAGTTATATATTTTATTAAAGAAAAATACAAACATGTGGTTCTAAAATAGGAGCACCCACAAGTTTTTATTTGAATGTGATAGAAGTCTACCTTTGTGACTCATGTGTGTAAGGTTCCAGCCCAAGTGGTTTCCTACCACCCCTTCCTCGTAGTTCTTGCAGACAGAGACCAGGAGAATCGCTGTCACTGAGAGTCCAAGAAAGGTTAGAGATAAGAGGCGGGATTAGAGAAGGTGAGGCTGCAAGAGGAAGCAGGTAAGCAGAGACACCTCCCTGTCACCCCACCAGGTGACCTTCAGCAAGGCTGGAAGTGCAACCTGGGCCTATTGTGCTCCTGCCAGACCCAGACCTGTGTCTGTACACCATCCATTCCACAGGGAATGTGAGGAAACGTGACTGGGCTAACATCTGCATTCTACAAAAAGGAAATTGGGCACACAGACAAGGCTCTAGCCAGAACCAGGAGCACCACTGGCAACCTGTGCTGGTCCTCCCAGGCCTCCAGTCTCTACTCTGCTTTCTAGTCAGGTCTGTGTCAGCTGCTACATACTGTGTTTTGGTGATGGGCAGTGTCTAGTCTGACTGCTGAGGGTTTAGAGCTCAGAGAACAGAGATTCAACTGTGGAGGCTCAGAGGCTTGGAGGCTCAGAAAGTGAAAGGAGCTGATCCATGGAGACGGGTGGGTTTTAGTCCCTGTATCAGTTTATAGAACAGTGAGGAGAGATCACTGATGACCCAAACAAATTCATGAGTTCAGAACAGTGTCTAGACCCCTCCTTCTGGAGACTCACAGCCCTGGCTTTGTTTTCTTAGCATGCAAGGGTGCTGAGTACTCAATGAAAGCCCAATAAGAGCTTGGTGTCGGTGGCTCATGCCTGTAATCCTTAGCTACTCAGGAGGCTGAGATCGGAGGATCACAATGTGAAGCCAGCCGGGGCAGGAAAACCTGTGAGACTCTTGTCTCCAATTAACCACCAAAAGTCCAGAAGTAGAGCTGTGGTTCAGGTGGTAGAGCATTGGCTTTGAGCATAAAAAGCTCAGAGACTGTGTGCAGATGTTGAGATCAAGCCCTAAGACGGACACAAAAACAAATACAAAGCCAATGGGGGCTCATTAGACCCCAGACCAGGATGGGCCTCACTTTGAACTAAGAAGTGATTCCTTCTTTTTGTGCTGTGTTCTGATGTAAGTGACATAAGTCAGGCAACCACTTGGTCCCTATCCTGACCCCAAAGAGCACATTTCCCATTCCCAGTGTATACTGCAGACATCTCAATCCTTCTCTTTTGTTGTGCTGGTACTGGAGCTTGAACTCGAGGGCCCGGCACTGTCCCTTAGCTTTTTCACTCAAGTCTATTGCTCTAATCACTTGAGCCACAGCCCCACTTATGGCTGGCTAGTTGAAGATAGAATATCTCAGATTTGACTGCCCAGGCTGGCTTCAAATCAAGATCCTCAGATCTCAGCCTCCTGAGTAGCTAGGATGACAGGTGTGAGCCACCAGTGTTCTGTTCTTGAGAGGACTTAGTTCCCCCCACACACACTGTGTGTGAGCTGCCTTGGTTCACGTGGCCCCTTCTGTCTGGTCTCTAAGCCCTTTCCCAGCCCTGAGCTCCCCTGATCAGCACCATTTCTGTGAGAGGAGGAACCCAGCCTGTTTGGGGCAGTGCATGGCCAAGGGCAGAGCGCTAGTGCTGGTGCTGGTGCTGGCTTGTCTAACTTCAATATCTGGTTCTACTCAAGGAGCTGGGGGTTTGGAGGAGGCAGTAGTGGGGGACTGTGGAACCCAGGGGCAAGAGCAATGGTTTCAACCCATGGGAATCAGCCTGGACATAACTGAGACTGAGGACCAAGGGCAAAGCTATGAAGAAGTGATTGGGATGGGGAGATGGCCAGCCCAAACTGGGAGAGGTCAGAGCAGCTTTGAGGAACAGCTAAGATATTGTGGATATACTGAAAAACCCAACCACAGAGGGCCCCCAAGGCCAGGCCGAGGGCCACCATTGTGGGATTGCACCAGGGAGTCATGGATGATGCTATGCCACCTCCCCCCCCGCTTCCTTCCTTCCTGCAATTCCTCCACCATCTTTCAAAAGTCAGAGAACATTACTACCTGGTATATGAACCAGAGAAAAGTTCTGCCTTTTCCACAGGCTTGGCTATGAGGTCATTCCTCTGTGGGCCGTCCACAGTGATATCAAGAGTAGGGACAGTCCCTAAGCTGAGTCATGGCTGACACACACCCAGCCCTGGAGGACACCAGGTGTAGGTGAGATGACACAGGTGTTGGTGATCCTCTGGCTCCCCTGATAAGGCCCAGAAAGGGCAGCATTTTCCCCCATGAGGCCAGAGTGGGTTGTGAGCAAGGGAGCTGATGCTTATTGTCAAGGAGGATTCTGTGACTGCAACTTTGGGCTTCGCAGAGCCAAGGAATGGCCAGGCTGGGTGGACTTAGAGTCATGTGTGCAGGCAGAACATGCAAACACAGGTACCTGTGAGCGCGGGCAGGTGACACAGCGCGTGTATGAGCTGGTGCACACCCAGGGGCATCCGTGTGATGTAGGCCCCAGTTACAGGGGCCACCGCTGCTGGGCCAGCCACCGGCTATAGGTGGGGTTCAGGTCTTCTTGTTTGCTAATATAAGCTGGATGCTTATATTAGTTGCATGAACACTGGGATTCTCATTGTGAAATCAAACACCAAATGAGCCATTCACAGTGTATCCACCAGCAAGAGGAGGCCTCCAGTTCACCATTTGTTCTTTCTATGGCATAAATAAGAGGAGCTGAGAGGTCAGAGAGGGACAGATACTGGGCCATCAGCTGAAAGTGAGGCAGTCTCAAGATGTGGCCAAACCCATCTTGCCAGCCTCATTTCCAGAGACTCACTTGCAGGTGTATTTTTAGAGCAGGGCCAGGCCACAAACTTCTGCCTGGGGACAGGCAGGTGCTGTGTCCTGTAATAGGCATGTAGGTGGCATCTGTGCAGTGGAGGCTGGAGGCTGGGTAGTTCTAGAAGGCCCAGGAAGGGCCGGGTGAAGGCAGGTGCCCGTGTGGGCCCATGTGTTTAGCCATTGCCAGTGTTTATCACCAGGAGACACAGCGAGGCTGCTAGACAGGACCAGGACCAGGACCTGGGAGAGGAGCCTTTGGGTCTGTCTCTCTAGGTGCTGATTGAGGAGACTGGGAGAACATGTTGTCCTGGATGAGTGGCAGCTGTGCTCTGGGGATGCTGTCTGGTGGCATCTCCATGCTTGGTGAAGTCAGCAGGGAACATATCAGCCTGGCTCTGCTGAAGCAAGGAGGCAGGTCCTGAGAGGAGGCAGGGAGGCCCAGGAGAGGAGGCCACTGTTGTGGCCCAGGGTGGTTGGTGATAAGCACAGTGCCCAGAGAGAGAGAGACAGATCTCAAGAGTCCCTGAGGGAATTTGTGGCAGGGTGTGACCCATCTCCGACTTCCTGGCTCTTGCCCAACCTGTCAGGCCACAGATTCCCCAAACTCGAAACAGGAAGCAGCTTGTCTTTGGGGGTTCTCTGTATGTCTGCTGTGAGCCAGGCTGAGGAAGGAAAAGTTGAGAGGCTGCCACTAAAGGAAGAGTCAGGAGGTGGGTAGATGAAGCCTGGGGAAGAAGGTGACTCTGCTGGCCCAGGAAGTCTAGGCAGGACCCAACTGGGGGGACCTGGCCTCTCATTTCCTTCCAGCAGCTTTCCTTGCTCCAACATCCTTTCAGTCCCTCCGTAGTTACTCTCTGAGCCCTTGTTACCTCCTCCACCTTTTCTAGGGTGATTATTAGTTCAGAAAGATAATGCTGTGAAGGGCTAGAATGTATCAAGGGGTCAAGGAATGAAGGAAGGAAGGAAGGAGTGAAGGAAAGATGGAAGGAAAGAGCAAATGAATGGATGAATTAGTAAATGAATAAATGAGCAAGCAAATGAATGAGAGAATGAATGAAGGAGGGAATATGAATGCACCCCATCCAGGCCAGCTAAAAATGGAAACAAGAGCAGTTTCAAATGGATGGCATTGTGCCCAGTGGTTGGGATTCTGTGCAGCTGTTATGGGTGAATTTTTTTCTCTCCTCATCCCTGATCATCATATTAACCTCACCCCAATTGGCTTGTCCGATTTGAGAGTTCTTCATTGAAAAGTGTGCTCAGAGTCAGTGTTTTTGATCTACATAGGACTTGTGTGTGAGCCAGGCTGGGCTACATCCTCATTCAATGGGAAGGGATGGGCCTGTAGGTATGAAGATGGGGAGGCCCCTGCTGTACCAAGAGCCAGTGTTTCTACTATACAGAGTAAACAGGTATTATATCAGCCAGGAGCCAGTGGCTCACACCTGTAATCCTAGCTACTCAGGAGGCTGAGGTCTGAAGGTCCCAGTTCAAAGCCAGCCTGGGCAAACAAATCCTGAGAGACTAATATGCAATTGACCAGCAGAAAGCCGGGAGTGGAAGTATGGCTCAAAGGGTACAGTACTAGCCTTAACAAAAGCTCAGCAAGAGACCGAGGCCCTGAGTTCAAGCCCCCTCGTACCAGTATGAGTGTGCCAGCACATGCATGTGCATGTGCATGCGCAGGTGCACATGCTCTCTCTCTCTCATAGACACACATAGGGGCACACTCCCATCCTGCCTGAGGCAGGCAATCTCTAAGACGGCTCCCAATGATCCTGGCAGACCCACACGATACAATGCAGTCACTTTCCCTTGAATTTGGCCAGATCTAATGAC